TGGGCCATGGATGTGCCATTCTGTCCCTGGTGGGTAGAGGGTCGAGGGCGTAGCCAGGCTAAGAGAGGCAGAGCTGGGTTGACTGGCCACCCAGTAGCAGCACCATGTCCTGACTGGGTATACTAGAACCAGCTCAGAGGTAACAGAAAATCTCTTGGGTGAGGTCGACTCAGCTATAGGAAGCTTTGATAAGATCAGCTGCCTTCATAGTAAGGTCGGGGGGCCTGGCCTTTTTATTTTTATCGGCTGGGGCCTTATTCAGAAAGGTCTATCCCTGGGTAGACTTTGCTGTCTTGAAGGGCCAGAGGCGGCTATTGATCCTTTCATGTAGTTATCATTTATTCAATGTCCTAGTGATATTGGCAGAACAGTAGGTCCGGGGACCCACAGGTTTGTAAGGGTGGCCTCCAGACTCCTTTGGTTCGAATGGAGTAGGAGGGGTCCTCCAGCGCCCCAGGATGGGTCTCCTGAACACATGCAGCAAGAGCAGAGAAGGTGCTCTTATTCGGGTGAGCTCATCCGACTAGGGTTGAATCTAATTTTCACAGTGAAGAGCTTGAGGCTTGCCTTTGGACCAGACTCAAGGCTACTCCAGACACGAAAGGAGGACAGCCTTGTCCATGTTCTTCTGCCTTTTGTCCAAGCTTCTGTCTTGAAGGAAGAAAGATGGCCTCTGGTTGGGGTCCCCTCTTCTGCTGAGTCTCCCTTCTCCCACCCCCAGATGCACCGGTGTGTGGCTCTGAGCCAGGCTTCTGAGACCTGAACAGGGCCACCAGGGATCTCACATCAGCTGCTTTGGCACGGCAATCCTTAGGACTTGACACTGTTTGTCATTAGCCCCCTGGAGAAATGGAGAGGCTGAACTCATGGTGAAAGGAAGAAGGCTATTGGGTGCTGGAGACTGGGAGGAAGGGAAAGGTCGAGGGGAGCGTGGTGTGCTAAAAACAAATTCCATCTTCCTCTAGATTTTACCTAAGACAGATGTTGCCTAGACAGCCTACATTTTGGAAGAGTGACTTTCATGAAAGTTTGGGCCAGGGGTGACAAATATCTGGTGCACCATCCCCCTTCTCCCCACACCTTCTCTTGGTCTCTGGAATTGTAGCTTCAGACCCTCCTCAACGCAGCGTTCCAAGCAGCCTCTACCCATCAGAGTTGACATTTGAGATCAAGTTCCTTCCCTGTGCCTTTTTGACCTTTTGCTGTGAATTCTCTACAGTAGCGTATTCCTGAGGCATCTTATCTTAGTGTTGTGACTCTCACAGAACCTGGAAACTCAGAGCACAGTTTGGTGTTGATTCATAGAATGTCCCCTGCCTCAATGACTTTCTGTGTATACTGAACTTGACTGACTCACTGGTATCTATCTGTCTCCTCCTCCAACCAAGCTGGTTCTCTGGGTTTGGCAGGAGTTCCAGCTGAGACCTCTCCTTACTCCATATTCTCTTTATTACTAATGAGGCGTTGTTCCTTAATTACTAGGTGCTGAATACTAGAATTGATTTCCTTTGTTTCAATGAATTTAGCAAAGAGCTCAAGAATTCTTCTTGTGCTTGACATGAACTGCCTGATTTTTTTTATTTCCCGGGCGCGAAGATCACTGAAGGCAAAGTGATGCCTAGAACATCAGCAGGTGTGAAATTCACCTTCTTCACTGAAGCATTTAGACCCTTTGATACTCGTCCCCCAGACACTCTGCTGCCTCATTTAAAATGAAAAACAACGAGAATGTGGGAGAAATACGTGCTCCAGGTAACTCAGTATTCTAACGGATGAAAATGAATGAAATTAGGATATTAAATCACTAATAGCCCTCGCTGTAAAAAACCATTCCAACATAAGTTAGTCTAAATTTCCTACCTCAGGGTGTCCCACTTCTTGAACATAGCTGAGTCCTTAATGATTCAGAGTTTCAAAGCCTCAGGGTCCTAATCCTGAGAAGCAGAGACTGGGGAAAGTTTACTGAAGTTTGTTGGCTGGCTATAGGATCTATTAAGAAATTTTCTTTTTTTTTTGGATTAAATCCAAGAGTTTTTTTTTTTAAGCAGGTTTTTGTTTGTTTTGTTTTTGTCATGAGAGCCGAAAAGATAAGGAAGGTAGAAGCTGGTTGGAATTTCATTTAATGGACGAGCTCTTTCTCTACATCTTGGAGAGCTTATGTCTGAGGGCAAAATAAATGTGAAATCTTGGTGATCTGTGTTGGCAAATCCAGCATAAACAGCCTAAGGTTGCAACGATCAGAATCATTTAAACCATCCCTGGCAAAAATGTGGATCCTGGCCGGTCACCCAACCTCTGTGAGCCTCAGTTTCCTCCTCTGTAAAATGGGCAGGGTACTCAGGCAAGGTGCAGTATTTAACCTAAGTGAGGAACGTGGATTATTATTGCCCTGAAAAACTTGTAGAAAGACATTCTAGACATTTTTATTCAATAGCATGTTGAAATTTATTTTTTTAAATCAGTTTCGTTGGATTTTCCATGATCAGCTAAATATATTCCTTGTATACATTTTAAACAATACAGAAAACTAGAAATAAGAAAAAACAATCATGCAAAGTTCTCCCACTCAAATACAGCTTCTTTTTAGTTTATTTCCTTCTAGCCATTTTTTGGGCACATATTTTTTTTATTGTGGCAAAATATACCTAACATAAAATTTACCACTTTAACCATTTTTAAGTGTACAAGGCAGTGACATTAAGGACATTTTTTATTGTTGTTTAACCATCACCACCATCCATCTCCAGAACTTCTCCATCATCCCAGACTGAAACTCTGTCCCTGTTAACCAATAATTCCCCGTTTCCCTTTCCCCAGTCCTTGGGAACCATTATTCTATTTTCCATCTCTACGAATTCGACTATTCTACATGCCTTGTATCAACAGGCTCATTTCTAGTCATTTTTATAAATGGGTCTTCTTTATTTTATTTTATTTTTTTTTTAAGATTTTATTTTTTTATTTGAGAGCGAGAATGAGATAGAGAGAGAGAGAGAGAGAGAGCATGAGAGGGGAGAGGGTCAGAGGGAGAAGCAGACCCCCCACTGAGCAGGGAGCCCGATGCGGGACTCGATCCTGGGACTCCAGGATCATGACCTGAGCCGAAGGCAGTCGCCTAACCAACTGAGCCACCCAGGCGCCCCTATAAATGGGTCTTCTTTAAAAATAGGAACTTAGCCTAATGAATAGGGATTTCGGCATCCTGGTTTCTTCACATTGTCAGCCTCCTCTAAGATATCACAAGCCTCTTTTTATATTGCTGCATCCTCGATATCAACATCTTTGCAATGGCCGAGCATTATCAAGTTGAGTGGATGTATCATTCATTATTAATCTTCCTTAGTTTCGACTGTTTGCTATTTGTAGAGAATGTTGTGAAAACAGTTTTGTGTAGAACTTTTATCCTGTTGAGGCTCGCTTTCTTTAGGCAGATTCCAGAAATTAATGACTGGCTTAAAGGGAATAAGAACATTTTCAGGCTCACGATCTGCACCACCAAATGGCTAGGAAGAGTTTTTCAGATGGCGCCATTGACAGCAGGGTAGGTTCCTCCGACCCCGGGGCGGGGGCGGGGGGGGGGGGGCGGGGCTGGGATGTCCTAGTCTCTGCGGACATTGACCGCTGGTGAGGTTGATTGAAGCACTGACTATCTGTGGGGCTGAGGGGACAGGGCTAGTTCCAACACTCCTCGGTAGGAGAGGGTTAGGCACGCTGATATCTTCACTGGGGCGACAGGAGTTCTCCTTGAAGTAGCCCGTGCAGAATCAGCACTCTTTCCCCTTCAGACTGTGTGTTTATTTGGGAGTAGCCTGGAGGTTTGCTGATGGAGGTTATGGAGAGTCTAAGGCCAACCCCCACCCCAAACCTTTGGCTCCTCCGCTGGGTGGGGTGGACCCTAGTGACCTTCTGAAGCTCTCCCATCTCTGTTTTTGTCTTCAGGCTCCGTCACCATGCAGGCCACCAGCTGGACTCACCAACTTTAGTTTTCTCACGTCAGCCTGGCTCTTCCTAACGTGTCTTTGGTTCGGTCCCAAGTGTCGCCGGGAGGCGGACCCACCCTCTCCCTTCCCAGGAAAGCCCGTGTTGCAACGAGAGCACTCGTGAGCTTCTCTCCCCATGACTTTCTCGGTAGCACAGTCCGATGACACGGCCCCCACCGTCCTCTGCCGCTGTCCAAGAAGACATCACAAGCGCTCGAGATCCCAATCAGCCCGCTTTCTCCCTGTGGCGCTGTGTGCGTTGGCTGCCCGGCCAGAGAGCTGGGCCTAGTTTTACCTATCATTTTGATATTATCTCGGGGCGTAATTGGAAGTGAGCTCTCAGTGTGGAAATTCTTACTCAGAACACAAAGGATTGAAGAGAGCTCGGAGGCTGAACTCCGGAAAGACTCTTGCCCGGGGCCTCTTGGCAGGGATGGCTCAGGTTTCTAGGAGTGGGGGTGGGGGGTGGATAATGGCCAACAGGTGTGTGTTGCCCTGGGAGCAATTTTGTACCTTTTCAGTAGTTATAGGCCGTGGTGAACACCGCCGGTTCCTGCCTTCTCTGCATTATTTGATGAACATGCAGGTGAACTGCCCTGTGGTTTAATTCCAATGGCAATGCGATCGGCATTTGCTGGTTTTTCTTGTTGCTGTGAGAATGCTCACCGTTTCCCTTGAGATGTGGTCTGGGGTCCTTGACCTGCCACATATCCGTCTGAGTGATGCCATTCGGATTTCAATCAGATTCCAAGTCAATGGTCTCAGCCTTGGGAGCTCCCTGTGTGGGTGAGGTCCTGTCGTTGCTGCCCACACCAAAAATATCAGCCGAAAAGTGTTTGCAAAGGACAACATTTCAACGATCCATGACATTTGTTTCTTTTCTGAGTTTTTCCCTGCATAGCTCATGCGATGATTGTTTTCAAATTAGGCCCTTTTTCTTTTCCCTCTCCTAATTATTATTTCTTATGTGAGGTTGATTCTAACATAATAGCAAACAATGGATGCACATTCATTAGACAAACTCATGATTTTAGGAAGACGCAAAAGGGCTTACAATAATTTCTGTGAAATCCACATTTGAGCATCCTTTTCCTTTCTCAACTGAGAGGTGAGTTCTCACAGTGCTCAGTAAAAAAAAAAAATAAAGTTGTGCTTTTCTTTTTTTTTTTAACATGTTAACTATTTTTAACTATTTATTATGGAATTAAAACATATAAGTTGGCAGAATAACTTACATACCCCAAATATCCATCTCTAAGCCTCCTTAATGATCCACCTTTGGCCAATTCTGCCTCTTCTGATCCCCATCCACTTGCCACCTCCAGATTCCTTTGAAGCGTATCTTAGACAACCTGTCATTTCACACCTACATTTTGTACTATGTATCTCTAGAAAATAAGCATTCCCTTGAAAAGCCTACACCTACTCTTAAAATGAAGAAACATTTGGGACATTTTCAGAGAGGACTTAGAAAGGGATGAAACTATATCCCTTTAATTAAAAATTTATTAAACTAATACATGTAAATTGTTACCAGTACAGGACTGTTAGTAATAGGAAATGGTAACAGATAAAATTAAAGAGAGGCCGTTCAGAAGGATATGTCATAATTTTTAGTCACTTGTTGAAATCAAGACTTTAGTTCTGCAGAACACAATTATTATCATGGTTCAGAATTATTATACGTTGCCTTGTATTTTCCCAGAGGTAAGCTCAGACCCAACTGATTTACTTTTCCATTTGCCCAGCTATGTGGGTTAGTCATGTTAGCTTTCTTTGTCCAGGTGTCTCCAAGCGTTTTTGATTGCATACTTCTATCAGTAAGGAATTAAGTGTGTATCCATAATATGAATTATTTATTTATAAATTGTATATATACTCAATAAGGGTGGTTAAGTATATCATAAAACACATATAAAATAGAAACTAAAGGATGAAATGATAAGTAAGAATGTGTGGCAGTTCTAATATTTTCTTCCTCTTGTATGTGCCCCAATTCGAAGACAACTGGAGAAGGTGGTGGGACGCAAAATACATCAAAGTGAGGTGTCAGTCGTGAAAGAGGACTGCCTGGACTCAAACCCCGGTGCTGCTACTCCTTAGCTCATACACATCACTTAGCTCCGCTCAATCTATCTTGTCATTTGTAATGTGAGGGCATTCATGCCTTATGGGGTATTGTAGGGTTTAATCCTTACACAGTGCCTGGTACGTGGTAAGCATTCAATACATTTTAGTTAATAATGCTGCTGCCGCTGAGAATTCATTCCTAGAGGGCTGGGCTGGGTCTAGCTTCTGCTTTCCTCCTTTCTCTACAGAGTACCCGACATGAGGCCCATGCTTATTGGTGCTGATTCCAGGGTTTTGGTGCGCTGATGGTGGTGTGGGTGATGCTATGGTGACAGTTACGGGGATGGTCACATTGGGCATGATCAATAGCATGGTGTACATTTATATTGATGATGATGGTGATGGTATGATGACACGGGGATGGTCCCGTTGAGGGGGGTGAATATGACCAGAAGGGGAAGCTCTTTTGCAGTCCCTACTGGAACTACATCATCAGTGTTTGCACTTGTCTTTCCTAAGAAGGTACCCACCCAACAGCTATGCTGACCGGCTTGTTTTGCTGTCTCCCTGCCTGGCGTCTTGGCCCTGTTGACCTGTTTTGCTGCTGTGCCCTCCTCTTGTGCTCCCATGTCGCTGTCTCTCTGTAGAGTCTGCTGCCCTGCTTGCCCGCGCATAGGCCCGGGAGATGGACCAGCCCCTCTCTTCACCGCAGGGCCGTATTATCTGCCAGTGGCTATTTGGTTGTCACGGTAAGGAACCTGCTTCTCAGCCCCTGAGGACTATGGGTGGTGCTAGAAACCTACAGAGTGTGGCCCCTCGTGGCTTTCTTCAAGAGGTGGCCCACGTCTTTTCCGGTGGGAGAGAGGGCAGACCTGGTAGGGAGCAAACTCATATACTTGTGCAAATCTGGGGCAAAGGCCCAACCCCAGTTAGGCAGGGGCTCCTGGAATGCTCTCGTCCGGGAACTCTGCCACGCAGCCCTGTGCCTCTGCTTCCCAAATGATGGGAGAAGCCTCCTGAGAAGGGCTGAATCCCCACTGGCATGAGATCTCAAGAAAGGTGTCGAGAAAGGACTTCCTCCTTTCCAAAATCAGGACAAAGAAAGGTTAGCGTTGCACCCAGCAGTGCCAAAAAGTAAGGCTGAAGTAAAAAAAGAACTTGCCGTAGGCTCTTTTTCTGGGGGCTTGTGTTTTTTTTTTTCTTTTTTCCCATGAACCTTGTTGGCTGGGTTTCTGGGAAATACGCTCCACCCTCTCTGGAGTGGTTCAGATTTTCTATGTTTAAGAAATTCGAGAGTCTGAGGTTGACATTTCATCAGGAGTACCCCGAACTCTTTTGATTCAGATACTGACTTGGGAACCTTCTATTTTTAATCTTTTTCTAGAGACCACATTCAAAATAGACCATATTTTGAATATTCTGAAAATGATTACTGAGACCTAAGAGCATACATTTATCTCTTCAAACTAATTCTTCGACTGGGATATTGCTCATGTCTCAGAATGACTAGGGTGTGGAGCATGAGATTCTGTAGAATGAGATTATGTGCTCTTAAAACACTAGCTCTGGGGAATTGTTCTTTAATACAAATATTCTAATGACTTGAAATACTTTACCAGTTCTATACATAATTTTAAATATTCTTGGGGTTAAGATACTCTTATCTAATAACCAAACAGTCATGCTATTTCCAAACAATTTGGGATTGCCTTCCCAACCACGTTTTTGGGAGATTCCTTGGCTGGGAGACCCCAGGCCAGAGAAGAGGAATGGATTTCTATTTGTGACTCTGATGGGGTGGACTGCATCCTTTTGATGGTCACTCTAACAGGGACTGGTCACGGGACAGATTTCTAAAGCAGAGGTAAAAATGAAAGCCAGGCTGTTGTGTGGTTGGGAGATGGGGCTTGTATCCATACTTAGCAGCATTGTTTCGGCAAACCATGGCAGCCTTACCAGTCACATATGTCATCTCTCTTTTCTAACTCCAACCCCTGATGCCAGGAAAGGAATAAAAGAGAAGAAATAAGTCCATCCACTGATGACTAGATACATAAAATATGGTATATCCATGCAACGGAATATTATTCAGCCGTGATCAGGAATGAAGTGCTGACACACGCTACAACATGGACGAACCTTGAAAATGTTATGCGAAGTGAGAGAGGCCAGTCGCAAAAGGTCACATATTGTGTGATTCTGTCTATTGGAAACATCCAAAATAGGCAAATCCATAGAGGCAGAAAGCAGATTGGTGGTTTCCAGGAGATAGGAAGGAGGAGGAACAGGGAGTGACTGCTTACTAGGTATGGGGTTTCCTTTTGGGGCGATGACAATGTTTGGAACTAGAGAGAGGCAGTGGTTGCACAACATTGTGAATGCACTCATTGCCATTGAATTCTGTACTTCAAAATGGTTAAATGATTTTTATGTTGTGTAAATTTTACCTGGATAAAAAAAAAAAGAGCAGAATAAGACAAGGAGAAAGGCAGAAGAGGAGAGGTCACTGGAGACATTTCAACACATTTTGGAATATGGGAAACATTTGGAGACATGGCAATTGACTTACCAGAGTGGAGGCAGCAACGACCTAAGTGACTAAGGGAGGGGGATGAGGGTTGGTATCAATGAGGAACAAGCCACATTACTGGTCAGAACTGTAGAAGGGCTGAGGCTTAGAGATACCAGGTGCTACAGTCAATAGCAATAAAGGGGGGGATTTCTTAAAATTCAGAATATAGAGAATTTGGATGCTAAGGTCTTTATTTTTCCCCATGCCAAGCTGCCAGGAGACTGTTTCCTGTTCCTTCCTCTGAGTTCGGGAGACCTAGAGACAGCCAAGTGCAGGGTGGAATCCCATTCTGCAAACAAGAGAGAAGTACAAGTCTACAGTTGAGACCCCGGCTTTCTTCAGAATGCTCACAGCCAGGCCACAACCCTCTTCTTTCACAGATGGGTAAACCCAGAGAGGGAAGTGACTTGCCCATGGTCCTGCAGCCAGCAGCTTATAGGTGTGGAGCTAGGATTCAAACCAGGTTTAGGAGACCCCGCAGCCTATGTGCTCCCTATTGCAGTTTTACTACCTGCCTCTGCATCTTCAGTAAGTATTCTTAGTGCCTAATTGCCCTTGCCCTGTGCTGAGTGCTGTAAAGGAGAATTACAGCAGGCCCCATGTGCTGTGACTCTTGGTGATAGCAACAGGCCAGAAATAAGGGAAGCGCACACCCACTGCCCATTGACTCAGTGCTGGGACATGGTGAAGGGGCGGTGCAGAGAGTGCCTGGGGCCCTGTAATTTGGGGGACCTGGATGCTAGAGTGATTGGGGAGAAAGATGTTCTGAATCAAACATATTCCTCATCACTTAGTCCATCACCCTGGAAATCTCCTTTCCCCTTCTACAAATTCTCTCCTAGACCTGCTTTCCAATTTCTCTTCCTGTTCAAATCTGAGGTTCTGTTTCAAGAAGTTGATTTTATTTTTCCCCTGTATAAAATATAAAGGTGGACTTTTTTTAATTGAGAAATAGAGAAAATAAAAATAAATAATTCAAACACTGTTTGCCACATCTCCTCCTTTGTTTTTTTAAAATTCATTTTTATTAATTTTTTTCATCAAATAAATACACGTTTCTAGTTCAAACATTCAAAGAGTGCCACAGGTTTATAATAGTCAACTGTAGCCCCTCCTAGCTCAGCACTCCAATATTTTCAGTTCTGGCTTCAGGCCCTTATCTCCATCGTTCTCAACATGTTTAAATGGCTTTTCTTATTGACTGACTGAGTTTATTGCCATCAAAAATGAGGACTTCAGTCACTTACAGTGCCTTCCTCTCGCCATGCCCCTTGTCTCCATCTATACTCAAAGTCCTGTCCCCATCCTCCAGGTAGTAATATCAGCATGTTGGGTAAGTTGAGGTCACTATGTGAAAACTATACAGTGAGTATTCACAGCTGAGCCACTTAATACATTAGGAGTCGATATTCTTTTTTTTTTTTTTTTAAAGATTTTATTTATTTATTTGACAGAGAGAGACACAGCGAGAGAGGGAACACAAGCAGGGAGAGTGGGAGAGGGAGAAGTGGGCTTCCCGAGGAGCAGGGAGCCCGATGGAGGGCTCGATCCTGGGACTCCGGGATCATGACCTGAGCCGAAGGCAGACGCTTAACGACTGAGCCACCCAGGTGCCCCAGGAGTTGATATTCTTTCTTTGACCAGTCCTCATCCTCTACCTCTGCCCTCCACCTCACTCTGGCATTCAGAATGACTTCATTTTTCCTTTGCTTGGTCTTCTAAGTACCTGTCACCAATTTTTCTCCCAACTCCTTTCTCCAAATCTCAGTAAGACATTTTTTTTCCCTCTCAATCAGATTGTTCCATCAGGTAGTCTATCAGCTCTACCTTTTCCCCAGTTGACATTTCTCCCAGAATCCTCCACCCTGCTCTGACTGCTCCATTGACTTCCTGGGTTTCTGACCTCTCCTCCATTATCCCAGGAATTCCGGTCTCACTTTTCCTGGGTTGGATGAAGTGTGTCCTGGATCCCACGTCTTTCTGAGTTTATTCCCTTAATTGCATCTAATTCACCAACTACAAACTTCCTAAGAAAGAGCAAAAGATAAATTTTCTGAATTCTGGGCTGAATTTTGAAATCACCAGCCTCGAAGTATGATTCTGCCTTTATTTGTACACCTGGATTCCCCTTGCACCATAGACGGTCCCCCTCCCCTTTCCCCAGCTCGCGGTGAACCCCATCCCCCAGGACAACATTGTTGAGTGTCCTGGTTTGGCACGAGGCCACTGCCTATGCCCAGCAAGTGCCAATCACAGCACTTGTCTTAATAATACCTTAGCCTCAACACCCAAGGTTTAAGTTGTATTAATCACCTAATAAAGAAATCTTCACAAGTGCTAATTACTAGCCTAGTCTTCATATGAGGCCCATTTAAAGAAGTGCCATTTTAGAAGCTGTAGTGCTTATAGTCACTTAACAAACATTTATTAAATGTCTACCATATACCAGACACCATGATAGAACTTTAACATGAGTTGTATGGTTTAATCCTCATGGCAATCCTGTGAAATGGGCATTATTGCCATTTGTAAATGAGGCAGCAGTTTCAGAGAATAAAGCTTCTCCAACTATTCATTCAACACATTTACTGAGAACCTACTATGTGCTAGGTGATGAGGATACTGTGAGGGGCAGACACACACATCTCTGGCCTCATGCAGAGTCTAGTTGAGCCAAGGGAGACAGACATCAAACAAATAATTTTACAAATAGTTTATTAAATACCTTTGAGATAAGTGCATGAGAAAGAAGTATGAGGTGCTATGTCCTAGTCTGGGGAATTATAGACCGTTTTCTGGAAACAGTATATTAGGTCTGTAAGAATAGTGAGAGTTAGCCAGATGAAATGAGGTGTAAGGAAGGGAGAGAGGGAGGAAAGAGCTTAAGCAAAGGCTCAGAGGCGAGAAGGGGTTTGCATAAGTGAGGAGCTAATAGGCCAGGGTGACCAGAACATAGTGGAATGATGTGCCATAAGGCTCAGTGGGGACCAGGTCAAGGAGCAGATTGTGAGGGTTTTGTGTGCTCTGTTAGGAACCTGAACATTATCTTTGAGGACAGGGAGAGGCAATGAAGAGTTTTGATCAGTGGAATGAAATGATGAGATTTGTTTTATAAAAACTCCTTCAGGTTGTTGTGGGGACACTATCTGGGAGAAGGCAAGAGTGGACATGGGGAGAGCCAAGGGATGGCTGCTCCAGATGTCATAACCGAGGTGATAGCTGCCTGCATGAAGGGGGTGCTGGTGGAGATGGGGACAAGTGGAGGGACCCAGGATGCATTTGGCAAGACGCTTGCTCAAGGTCACATGAAGCAGAGCTGGGATCTAAACCCAGCTCCTGTGGTGACAAGGCCAGCTCTCTTTCTGATCCACGAATGCTGCTTCTTTCTCTGTGCAAGGGTCAGAGGACACACACACACCCTTTCTCTCCCAGTGCCCTGGCTGGGGATGCTAAGTTATAACCTAATAGTTGTGAAGAATCTCTTCCTTGTGCAGTGATAGAGCTTCTAAATTATGCTGTATAATATGTCAGTCATTTGGGATATAAAAAGAAAACATAATCACTGCTTTTAAGAGCACGAGCATCCTAATAAAGCTATAGGGATGCAAACAGTGTCCTCAAACAAAATTAAATAGGAGGAAGTTAGAGAAGCTCTAGAATCTCACACAGTTCTTCGGGTCACAATCCCAGCACTACAGTTTTGGCCTGTTTGACTCCACTATACTCAGCAATATCTTCAATGGTCCTGGAATTAGGGTGCATTTTCCCAAACAGACTTAAAATAACACTACTCTTGGACATCCTGATTCTTAATTTGGACCAGAAATTGTATTCCTCAGAAACAATAGTAAGACATGCGAAATTCTTTTATTATTCTTTAGGTCTAATTTTTCTCCTAAATAGTTGATCGTCAGGGATTTATTGATCAATGCTTTAAAACCTCATTAATAAACTTCTTAGTCATGGGGCCAGAAGGTATGCAGTCTGAGAATACAACCATATAACCTAAATCCCCTGCAACATTCTTAGTTTCCATATAAAAACCATTGTCAGAACATGTACCTAATTTTGCTTTGAAAATAGGATTCACTTCCCAGGTGAAGTGTGTCGGAACTTGATAGTACAGTTGACCCTTGAAAAACATGAGTTTAAAAAAAGAAAAGAAAAGAAAAGAAAAAACATGAGTTAGAACTGCATGGGTCCACTTACATGCAGATTTTTTTTTTTAATAATACAGTAGGATCCTGCAAATGTATTTCACTTTTTTAAAAAAGATTTATTTATTTATTTATCTGTCAGAGAGAATGAGAGAGAGAGAGAGCACAAGCAGGGGGAGCAGCAGGCAAAGGGAGAAGTAGGCTCCACGCCGAGCAGGGAGCCTGACGCTGGGCTCGATCCCAGGACCCTGGGATCATGACCAGAGCCGAAGGCAGACACTTGACCAACTGAGCCACCTAGGCGTCCCTGTATTTCACTTCTTAATAATGTTCTTAATATCTTTTCTCTAGCTTACTTTATGTAAGAATCCAGGATATAATACATATAACATACAAGATCTGTGTTCATCAACTGTTTATGTTATTAGCAAGGTTTACGTCAATAGTATGCTATTTGTAATATTTTTGGGGAATGAAAAGTTCTATGTAGGGGTGCCTGGGTGGCTCAGTCGTTAAGCGTCTGCCTTTGGCTCAGGTCATGATCCCAGGGTACTGGGATCAAGCCCTGCATCGGGCTCCCTGCTGGGTGGGAAGCCTGCTTCTCCCTCTCCCACTCCTCCTGCTTGTATTCCCTCTCTCACTCTCTCTCTCTGTCAAATAAGTAAATAAATAAATAAAATCTTAAAAAAAAAGTTCTATGTAGATTTTTGACTGTGTTGGGGGTCAGCGCCCCTAACCCCCATGTTGTTTAAGGGTCAACTTATGTGTTTCCAACAGAACCTTTGAGTTCGGTTTGAAAAGGGAGGCAGAACCTTGCAGATCTCATGGCTTCTAGACTAGGAAGTCTCTTGCAGATGCTTTGGGAATTCAGACCGTGTCTTTGGGGGACCTTCTGTTAGCTCCCATATGGATGGAGCAGGGCTGAAAGGAGGAAAAGAATAAATATTGTTTATGGCACATGATTTATTCTCCAGGGTTGTAAAAACCCCGTGTTACCTGGCCTAGGCCATAATGAAATAGATTGAAGTACATGAAGAAAGTGTTCAGTGGCAAGCTGGTAAATATTTATTGACATAAAGACTGTGCAAAAGCAATTTATAAATCACAAATGATACAATACTCTTTATTGTAATTTCCTTGTAGTCAGCAGATTCCCACGGAATGCTTTTGATTTTGGCTCTGGGCTCCTATATCCAGAGTGTCGCCCATCTATTATTTCAACTGATGAACAAGTGCAGTTCCAACATGAATGTGGGTTGATATCTTATGTTAATAGGTAAGAAGAAAGCAAAACAACAAAGTTGGATGTCGAGTCTCTAATCATTTGTCAATGACAGGGACAACTTCTTTGCTGAAGGAGATGATTTTTTTTCAAATATCGGAGGAATACTTCCTCAATTTGTGTGTGTTTGTGTGTTCTATTCATAATGTTTTGGCTATAAACACATTTTAAAATTTAATTGGCATTTTTAACATTCTTCCATCACTCTTAAAAGTCTTGACCAGGGATCAGTAAATGAGGGTCTATGGGCCAAATCTGATCCCCCCACTTCTTCCTGTAAATCAAGATTATTGGAACACTCTGCCCAATGGTTTTACATATTGTCCACATCTGCCTTTGCCCTACAGTGGCAGAAATAAGTTAGACAGAGACTGTATGGGCACCAAGCCCAAAATATTTACCATCTGGCCCTTCACAGAATAAAGTTTGCCAACTCCAGGTTTAGACAGTCAACAAAACATTAAATCAGGCCTTGATCTGGTGGTGTTTCCTGACTTCTGTGGTGTCACAACTCCCACAGTAGCCAGTGTCCATCTTCCAGGGTGTCGTCACTAAACCCAGAGTTGGGAGGAGAACCTCCGTCACTGGACAACGTGGTGGGATAACTAAGAACGGATGAGTTTTCAGTATTTCCTATCTTTGTTTCTGACTATAATTCATTTAGGTATAAATTTATATCATTTTATTTCTTTCAAGATTTATTCATTCATTTATTTGAGGGTGGGGGGGTGGAGAGAATCTCAAGCAGACTCCACGCCCAGTGCCGGAGCCCAACATGGGGCTCGATCTCACGACCCTGAGATCACGACCTGAGCAGAAACCAAGAGTCCAACTCTCAACCAACTGAGCCACCCAGGCGCCCCATCATTTAATTTTTAATATGGTTGCGTTTAAGTGGTTTTCAAAATTTCTGAACAGGCAACGGTCTGCTATCATGAGCTGGATTGATGGTTTTCCCATGGTGCCCAGCCATCCCTTCCCTCCCCCCCCCACCCTGGCCTCTTTTCCTATCTCCAGGAGGAATCCCCTTCTTCTCAGCATGCCCGGTTCTCAGAGTGTCCTGTGCCCTTGGAATGCCCCTCTGGCTCTTCAGGGACCCCATTTTTTGCTAGTCTTGTCCTTGACAACAGCTTGTTCTCACAGAATCCCCATTCCCTCTCATCCGCATCGGGCGATATGTTTAGTTCTGTGGTAGGACTGATCTCAAAGGGCTGGCAGCAATTTACAACAAGGTAGAGGTGATGACCAGTTGATTGTTTAAACAGGCCTGGGAATGTCTGCGTTAAAAAAAAAAGGGTTCTTGTCGACCCAGAGGTTACAGAGTCTGAATGTCTGGTCCGACAGCAGGTGTGAGAGGTGTCTTTGGAATTCTGGGGTGCCAAAACCCCTCAGTCCCAGCAAGGAGGGTCTTCGCCTTCTCTATCAGCACAGCACTGGCCCCAACATGCCCCTGATGCTTCTCATTTCTCCTGAAAACCTTTTCCTCTTTTCTCTTGGCTTTAGCCCTTACTCTCCCTTTCCACTCTTCTTCCTGTCCACACTGTTGTGGCTGAGGTGAGGCAGGGGTTATACTGTCTTGGTGGGAAGGGGATCAAGAAACCTACAGCTGTTTGTACCTATCTAGAACCTGCCACTCCTGCCTCGTGTGGTCTTGGCTGATACTTGACGCGTCTGGTGTTTTGTCTGAACTTGTGCGTTCTCTGTTCCCGGCTTCTCTGCCGTCTGGCCCCTTGGCAGGCTGTGATGAGCAGCATTGTCAATGGGAAGATATCACAGCCACTGAGAAGCAGGATCCCGAACATGTGCAGTTCAGGAGCCTGGGGGTGGGGGTGGGTGCTCCCATGCAGCCCTTGAGCGGGAGTCGGGGGGAGGTTGTGGGGTGAAAACACAGGAGGAGGGAGCTCAGGCCAGGCTCTGGACTGATGGCATTAACGAATGAACCAGATGGAGGGAAAAGGCATTTGTGAGTCAGCGCATATTTATCGAGTACCTTCCATGGCTCAAGTCTGGTCTAAGCACTGGGCTACAGCATGGGATAAAATGAAGCTCTGTTCTTAGGTTCCTTACATTTCTAGTGGGGTGGGACCGAAATAGGGCAGAAGGTTGCAGCAAAGGAATGGAGTAAGAGGTCAGGTGAGTGGAGCTAGCTCATGGAGCGACAGTGGGGGCAAGATAGGAATCACGGACGATTCTGAGAAAGGGGTGTTATGTTCTGACTTATATCTCCAAATGACAACCCTGAATTGGTTGCTGGGCAGGGAGCCCAGGGAAGAGGCTGTGGCAAAGTCCAGGTGCAGGTGGATGGTCACAGGGAGGTGGTGAGAATCAGCAGATTCTGGAGATGCAGCGAAGGTGGATGGACCATGAGCTGTGAGAGAAGGACTCCAAAGGGCTTGGCTTGAGGAACTAGATGGATGGGCCTTCCATTTACCGAGGTAAGAAAGGTTGGGAAGGGTTCGGGGTTTGGGAAAACCAGGAGTTTGGATGTGGACATGATAGATTTGATGGCTTAGTCGACAAGGTATAGATGTTGAGCACACAGCTGCATATACGAATCTGGAATGCAGAGGGAGAGGCTGGGGGTGTTGGTATGAGTTTAGAAATCATCGATAGATAGTCGGCGCTTAAAAGCATGAGACTAGATTAACCCAGGTGTCGAGGGAGATTAGATGCAGAAGAGAAGTGGTCTGAGGACTGGGCTTTGGGTCTTGATGTGTAGAGGGGAGGATGCAGCTGAGAAGATCCTGTATTTATAAAATGAGAAGGCATGAAGAATCCTCCCTGTCAGGGCCTTTACCGAAGGGCTACTTGTGGAATGGTTGGGGTGGGGAGTAGATGAAAAGTCCTCCTGACAGCCCCCCAGACCCAGGCTGGTGGCCTCTGCTAGAGTGAGGTGTTCTGTGTCTCCCCTCTTTCTCAGAGATGGCGATATCTGGCAACGTTTCTCCAAGTCAGATTTATTTATTTTTTTTCTTGAAGTCAATTTTATATTAACATGTATGTCATATGGCTTTCCAGTGTGTTCTACAGTCAAGCTAAGCACAGTGGGATGTGGCAGCCACAGAAAGGCTGGATGCTTGTGTAGTGGTCAGGCCAGAAGGACGAGGACGGGCTGAGCACTGTCATGTCACTCTCCAGGTAGAGAAGCTGTGAAAGCTGTGTGCAGAGCACTTTGCACCCTGCCCGGCCCACAGTGGATTAACCATTGTTTCTCTCCCTCCTATCAAGTCCCAGGGCTGCTATTGGTGGCTGTGTGACCTCAGGAAAATTGCTTCACTTCTCTGAGCCTCTATTTCCTCCTTGGTAATGACTCATTATTCCCACCAGAGGGTGTTTGCAAAGATTAAATCATTTTAAATAGGTTGAAGCATGTAGTGAACTGCAAAGTTATTTGCAAATATGAAACGGAAATGACTGTGTCTGTACTAAGCTCAATTTACACAATAATAGATTTTCACCCTTTGCATCAATAGCGAGGGTTTCTATACTCAACTCGTGGAACGGACCTCTTCGGGACAGAAGTGTGCCAAATAGACATGGAAGCACTCACTGTTACGTAATGTCTTTCTTGCCGGCCCCAAGAGTGAAGAAGATGAGCTGAGGAATCAAGCCCCATCACCATCACTGGCTCCTCTGAGTTGGAAAGATAAGGCGCAGAACAGAATTCTGAGTTCTCACATCTGTCCACGCTCTTTCCCTCTGGTCTCCCATCTGTCTCCTTTCTATGCTGGTTGCCAGTTGAAAACACCTCTGGTCTTCCTCCCCTGCCTTCTGTGAAGTCAATGAAAAGCAAGAGGGAGCATGCAAGGGGAAGATGATCCTGTCCGTGCTGGTCTCAATTATGGAATCCGTCTAAGCCGAAGTGTGAGAGGATGCGCACTAGGTGTTATACACAACTAATGAATTGTTGAACACTACATCAAACACGAATGATGCGCTGTATGTTGGCTAATTGAACATAATAATAAAAAATAAAAATCTTAAAAAACTCTTAAAAAGTGGGGCAAGTGTATGTTGCGGGGAGAGGGGAGGAGGGAAGGAGGGTGAGGGCTAAATTACTCACATAAGGCTCAGTAGATCTGGGTTCTAGCCTTGACATTCACAAACCGTCTCTCCGCAACATTTCCTTTATTCGGTTCAAGGAAGGGAATTGGATCCAATCTCTTCCACCTCTTTGGGATTCTGGGACTTCACTCCTTTGGAGACTCCAGTCTACTCATTTCAGTATCATTCCACCAGGTGGCGATGTTTCCCTAACCCCAAAGCCAGTTTTCATTCAGGGAAAAAAGCCAAGGTTTGTAGCCAGTTTTTCTTTTCTTTTTTTTTTCTCCCCTGAATGTGCAAAAGAATGATTCTCCATAGCTGGGGAGGAAAGAAGGAACTTTCCTTCTGAACACCTCGGGCAGTTTAGCCTGGAAACAGACAGGGCCCCTGTTTAGAGATTTCTCCTCCCCGCAACGAGTGGAGTGGGACCTCGGGTTAGAATTTAGTCTTCGGGTTGCACACACATGGGGCGGGGGCAGGGGTGGAGTGCTGGGAGATGCTGGAATTGCAAGGTCCTAGGGAAGTTAGGGGCAGTGGACGTAGCACTTAGTCGTGGGCCTGCATGAGTCCTGCAAAACTCCACCCAGAGAAGGGCATTGGACGCCAACCTTTTCCAGGCTGTGCGGGAGTAGGTGTTGCCGGATGCTCGCTCGAGCGGGTAAGATAGTCCCGCCCGAATCAGCCTGCTTTAATGGTGAAGGTCAGAGATGCAAGAAGGCAGCATGAAGAATGATCGCCTCCCCCCCCAATTGCAGTTGGGGAAACTGAGACCCAGAGTGGGTCAGTTCTCCGGATTCTACCTCCTTGCCGAATTCCTTCTTCCTTAGACATTTCAATTAGACGTTTCAACTGTCTCATCTGGTGTGTGCAGCTGGCACATCTAGTTAAGCCTGCCGGCCTCCGGACCTGCCAAGCCCCTGCATTACGCGCACCAGGCACCCTGCCCTTGA